GGCCATAACTCACGGAAACGGTCCGCCGATGGCAATACGGTTTTCTTGACGTTCTCACGGGAAGTTGCAAGAGCCTGATTCTATCGTCACTCATGACACGTCATTCCAATAAGGAAATCAGCATTTCCGGTTTTCCTCTACCATCTATTCCGGTTGAAAATCATTATTAAATTGTCATCGCGTTGTTTTATGTTTATATCTGATCATCGCTATCCCTGTAATTTCGCCGTCTTGCATTGTGACTTGCCAATTGCTTGCGTTCTTTCGGTTTTTTCAAATTCACTTACAATCGATATTACTGGTCTTCGAGAGACCCTGTTCTTTCGACACTTACCCAAGTACAGTTCACCATGCCAACGTAAATCTCAGTTGTTCCTCCATTAATTACTCATTCTTCGTTTTGCATAGTTTGCCCTTTTCTATGCATTGTTCGTCAAGAGTCTTCTAGTATCGATATCTGAAGTATCCAAGACGGTACTGATTCAAATCCTGGCTTACCCTCTTTTAGCTTTCGTTTTCTTCCTTCCTTGTTGCATCGTCTGTGAACATTTCACATAAATGGCGCTGCTCTACAGCAATACTGGTAAGGTCTTCAGCAACCGCGTTTTCCCCCACACCGCATGCACAATCCTTGCCAAAGATTAACGATCAAACAATGTTTGAGACGCTTACGCAAAGATTATATGAATCTGTGTTTTATTTAAAACTTTGACTTTGCGTGGTTGCATGAAGCCGTTCCAAAGCTGTTGCATAAGTTATATCAACCCAGATTTCATGATGTGGTCAGGATATAATTTGCCTAATTGTATTTCTTCCATGCCTTTAACACTGAGACGTCATGACATCAATCTATCTTATTCGCCGTCTCCATGCTGCTAAGATTTCAATAGCATTCATTTTTGGCGCTCAACATGAGCAGGTAAAATATGTTAACTCTTGAACCCACCTGGCCAATAAACCTTTTTTCTCTACTTATCTATGTTTGTACCTCTCTACCTACCTATCCATCTATCGGTCTATTTAGCTATC